AAAACTCATATTGGTGATGGGTAGAATTCAAATATAATTGTTCAAAAACTTGTTGTCTTATAAACTCTTGATTTTCAATTAATTGATATTGAGAATATAGTGCACTTAGAGAAGCTAATTTACGCTTTGGTAACTTATGATGTTAGGGATTCTTGAAATGATATTATCTGTGATTGTGACAGCAGTGTTTAGGAATGAAAGTATAAAGTGCAAACACTAGTTTTATGTAGTGGTCAATAATAGGGATGTTGCTATACTGGTAGTTCTTCAGATGGTGGTAGGACTGGTGTTTGAGAGGTTATGTCCATAGCTTTGGTTGTGGATGGCAGTGATTATCTTTGGAACATTAGGGTGACAAGGATGGAGTTGCCACAGCGTAAACTGTTGGCTAACTAATTTTAATTAGAAAACAAGTGAAAAGAAATCGCTGTTGATCGATGCAATTTGACCTATGCATATGAGTTTAGTAATCTTGCAAATTGAAGTCAGTTAGGACTGTCATTGATCGAATTCGAATTTTGATCTTTGTCTAGAAGGAGCCTTAATTGCTTCTGAACATCATCTTTACAGTGCATTAAATGAATCCTTGTTTTTACTCGTATATTTGCTTTAGAACATAGTCAATATATAATTTAATTATATGATGGATTCAATTATTATTAATTGTGATTTCCACTGTCTCTCCAACATGGCACACTAGATTTAAAATCATGAAAACATGTCTAATATGGAAAGAGGTTAAGACTAGCATAGGGAGTTAATAAGATTAAAAATTCTGAATAGCTTCAGTAGAAAATCTATTGCAGAAGTAGCTAGAAGTAAAAAGTGGGATTTGAAATGGTTTATGTTTGAAGAAGTAAAAAGTTTAGAAGCAATTAAGTTGATGGAGGTAGCTGTTCATTACTTTAGTACTCCCCTTGTGTCCAACCATATTTGTATAATAAGGCAAACAAGGTGGTAAAGGACAAATGGAAAATCCATGTGATAATCCAGAGGCCACTAATTAATACTTGCATGAGGTAAAGAAAGGGAAAGGAAATAAGACCGTAAGATAATGAATTGTTTAAAAATTGTGACATAGTGAAAACTTGCATGACCATCATGAGATAAGTTGTTCAGTCTCTCATATTAAGATAGGCTGTGTCATATCTGACAGTTTAAGACAGGTAACTACAAATCGTGCATTCGAAATAACCCTAATAAATTACCATCGACAGGATTCAAATCCAAGACTTCTTCGTCGAAAAGAACAATCTTTAACTGATTGAACCAACCACTTAGTGGTATATCATGAGTAAGTTTTTTAAGTAACTTTCACCTCTTTTCTATTAAGTTTTAAGTCATCTTTGCCAACTATTTTCACTTGCTAGATAATTTGATATGTTCTGAAATGTTTCCATTAATTCATTAATTAGTGCAGTAAATAGGCTTTCCAATAGTTATAGACACGCATTTGATCAACATATAGTTAAATGTTCCGTCACTTGCAATTTACATGGAGATCTTGATACAGCTTATTATCGTTAGCCTCCTTCATTTACTATCAATTGTATCACATACTGTTGCATAGCACACTTGTTTATAATCTTCGTATTAAGTCAATGCACATTATTTGAGCATTCAATCAATTAAAGTTGAAGTGAAGTTATATACATATATAGCTTAAACGTTTACATTTCAAAAGAAAAAAAAAAAAGATATATAGCAAAAGAAATGGCGCTTTCTGGAAATATCAAGTAACTTTTCTAGGTCATGTCTAGTCTTTATTTCCAAGTCTCACTTATTCTGTTGTTTAGTTGTTCAGAAATAGACTAGATATGTTGACCAAAGCTATATATCAAAGTAATATGTTTTTTATAGGATACAGTGGGAAGGTTTCTTATCCCTTTTGGGGGAATGTGGTCCTTTTAATTTTCAAAAGAAGACATTGACTGTACTAGTACAGACAATCTTTTAAATATATATTTATATCACTGCATGGTCTAACAAGGAAAAACTAGCCACTTGATTTATATGCAGATGCTAAGGAGTGTTATGCAAATGAGGTGAAAATATTCTGTTCTCATTAATGTTTAATACATGTTAACTATATGCTTTTGTTTGTATGCATCCACATGCTACCATGAAGTCAAGTTTCTGTAAAGTTTTAATCCTGTTTCCAAAATTTTGTTTTGCTTTCCAGAAAGAGTACTCAAAAGTAAGATAGACTTGCTAAGCTTTGATTCTCATGGTTTGGTTTTTTCCTCAATATTTACTGTTTAAGTTTTGTTGATCTCTTTGGTTCCATTCCAAGGATGAGAACAGAAGATGCCAACAAGCTTTTTACTTCTGAGCATATGAAAATTTGGAATCATATATGCACTATGGATGTGCTTAATGTGATGTCAAATGAATGTCCTATTCAAGTTATGGTTTTGCTAGGGCATTTATGGTGGAATGATTTTTGAGAATTTTCATGTTGTTGAAGCTTTTAGGTTATTTGAAATAGTGCAATTGTGCATGCAGTGATCCATTAATATAGTTCCATACATGTCTAGGTATTACCTTGTCCAGCATCAAAGAGTTCAATCTACCTTGGTTTATAAGGACATCTTTTTCTTTTAATATCAGTGTGTGAAACTATACATAGCTTGTATCCAAATTTTGCATTTTAATTATTCCCATGGTTTTTAAGGATGTTTTTTTTTTCTGTGGATTGCGTTCCCATTTTGTTTGCCAGTGGTTTTATGTTTTCTTTTGTTTGGGCACAAAAATTATTTACCATTTATAATATTATTTATCAGTTTCATTCTGTTATCTATATATTGCTTTTTTCTAATCATTATCTTGTGTTGCTTAGAATCACAAAGGAGAAGGAAATGCTTGATATGAATTCAAGTAACGGGCAATTATATATCTTAGAAATTCATCCTTGAAATTCCAAGGTAATGTGGAAATTATGGGGATCCTTATCACTACCGACAAACTAAAACTTTCCTGGATCGATGCTAAAATAAACTGAAGTTTGCAAAGGCATTAATTTCATGTCCATGAAAAGAAAAAAGAAAGGTGCCCTACACCTATTCTTTGTGGGGATGGGACATATTGAACTTGGGAATAAGTTTAACAATGGAATGGGACTAACAGTCGAAATGTGTTGACAACAGGTTGGAAGCTGTCTGTGAGTTAGGGAAAAGGTGCAGTAGGACACATGATTTTCCTTTTCTTCTCCTATTAGCTAAGTAGTAATAGTAGTACCATCAAGTGGTCTTAAACTTGAATCCAAATGCTGATCTTTTGTTGGAATCTTTTTGAATGCATGATTTATAATAGTTACTTTTTAAGTTATTGAGTATGATACATTTTATCTTAACTTGAAAAATTGAATAACTTCTAATTTTATTTTACCAAAAACAAAAAAGTAGTAGTATTACTTTTGTGGCTGGGGGGGTTTGGACAGGCTGCCCAGAGACACACCCTTCTCTCCTAACATGCTTCTTGCATTGTCTCTTGTAATCTTTGCCTGAGTTCCAAACAATGGACTGGATAGTGTATTGCTCTTTTTCTACAATAGGCCCCGCAGGGTCCAAACCCTCCTCCATTGTCAGACAAAAACAAAATGCATTTCAATTATTTTTATCATCAATCAAACTCCATTAACTACAAACCAAACACCGGCTCCCACTGATTAATTATTTTATCATCAGCCTTTAAACTTATGACATCTCATTGGCTTGTTGGGTTATCTTTTGTCTTCTTAACTATGATCGTAACGTTTAGGTGAGATTTGCTCTTTATCATATACACTTTTTAAAAGATTCGAACCCATAATTTTTACAAATTTCAAATGTGGCTCCGATTCTTGGTAGTTAAATTACATTAACAAAGGCTTACACTTTTGGTTTTAGTTTTAATTAGTATATTATTATTTCATATTGTTTGAAAATCCTTTGATTTGTGAATTTGGACCGACCATCTGGCATGGCCCACCCCAGCTGTTTTGCAACAAATTAGAATTAGATATAATCATTCATTTCTTTGAATCTAATTAAATTAAACACACGCCTTCCCCACATAGATGCGAGAATATTTGCATGCACCATCATACATATGTTATTTTGTGATTAATTGATTATATTAAGCATAAGGTTAAGTTAAACCTGGTGGTCCGAGGTAATGCTACTTGTGACAATATGTTTTAATATTGTGAAATTAATATTAATTTATGCTATTAACCAAATCATGGAACGACATGTTATGTTATGCTACTAGAGATAATAGTTGAAGGGAATTTATAATTTATTAGAACTAGACCTGTGCTTTTTTTATTTTTTTAAATTATATTTTTAAAATGAGAGATAAATTTTTTATGTAAAATTTTTACTATAAATTATAATTTAATTATATATAAATATACTTTTTTATTAAATTAAAATATTAAATAATATATTTACTAATATAATATATATGTAAATATATATTAAATAAATAATTAAATACATTTTTTATATTTGTCGAGGAGAGTCAAGTAGAGCACCACAAACCTTATCTCAAAGGTTGTTTCATTAATTTTTTTTTATAAAATTTATCTAATAAATAGAATTTTAAAAAACAAAAAAAAGACAAAAAAATCAAATGGATGATACATAAATTTAATAAATTAAGATATTAAATAATATTTTTAATAAAATACATATATAAATATAAAATTAAATAAATAATATATATATATATATTAAGGTAGAGGTATAACATTTAAAACCTTAATTTTATCCAAGCTCAATTTAAAAAAAAATTCAATTCAATTATTTTGGATTAAAAGAAAATCCATCAATTGGATCAAATCCATATTCATTGGATATGAGTTATTTTATCATTTTTATTTTAATTGATTTTTTTATTATAAAATTTACTTAATAAAAAAAATAAAAGAATTTTTTAAAAAAGGAAACCCAAAAATACAAAAATTTTATAAAAAACAAAGAAAATTAAAAAATTAAAAAAAAGGTGTCACAGGATCATTGAGACGGGATATAATACTTTAAATTTATTTATAAATTGATCCAATCTTGATTACTTTTTTAAAATGTACCTTTGTATTAGTGCAAATATAAATCATACAAATTTTTTTATCATTTTTATTTTCATTGATTTTTTTTTACAAATTTTATCTAATAAAAAATTAAAAATTAAATAAAAAAAAAAAAGAAGTTTCACGTGTACACACTCTCTTTCCTCATTCTCTACAATTTAAGTACACAGATGTGAGATATTTTTGCTCGGTCTTAGAGGAAGGAAAACGAAAGAGGGCATCTTGAAATTAGTTGGAAAATTACAATCATTTCAATAATAAGCAACGTCGCTTACAAACTTGAAATACCAAGTTACATAAACTACTTATGAATTTGAGACCCAAGTCGTTGGCAATTGGAAGGATTTGAATCTCTTGTTTTTGTTTTTCATTTTACCTTATAAAAATTATTTGACCTAGACGAATCGACGAAGAAAAACATCAAGGGAACGCCAAATCCATGTGGCTGAAACTGAAAGTGAATGAGGAGCAAGCTTTTAGTTACCAGAATGTGACAGATGCTCTCCTTCACATGAATGAAAACTGGGTCTTATAGTAGTGTCTTATTCCAACTTGACAGCACCTCTTGCCTACCCCAATTGTTTTCGGCTTTTTACTTCCACTTGTAATATGGAAGCTGGAACGAACCTTTCTCTCGCTCCTATCCGGAAGCCCAAACAATGAACGACCCTGAATGCTAGCCAGACCACTTCTATTAAATAATTGAGTTTCTACATTGCAATATACAGATCTTTTTTTTTTTTTTGAATAAAATCATGAGTAGAGATGCTGTTGTCAAAGTGCATATTTGCTGTTCACCTGCTCGTCTCGTGGATGAACTTGTATTTTGAATAGCACTAACGAGAGGTCGTAAGTGCTCAAACCCAGAAACCTCTTGCTATGAGGGCACAACTTGACCGATTGAACCAACCCCTCCTGGTTGGCGCATTGCCATGTTCTCATTTATTGCTCCAGGTCAGGAATCCTAACAGTTAAAGGACCGCATAAAGAAGGCCCGACACTGGGTATTTGTTTGCTAGTGGTGAGAAAGCAATTAGCTCATGCAACGATTGCATGACACGACAGACAAAAACTAATCCAAAACTTATTCCTTCGTTAGTTTCATGGCAATTCATGGTACGTAACAAGAACATGGCAAACATTGGCATGTAAGACGGTCATTATTGACTTGAACTTCACATGTCGATATTCAAAAGCCAAACTTCCAAGTTCCAACACAACCCAAAAACCTTTAACAGACAATGGCTTGTGCAGAAATTTAGGCTCTCCCTTACCAAACCACCACAATAGAATTGGTATGAATAGCTTTAAAAGTTGAAATTTTGGAAACGGAAACTATTCCTAAACCCTAATTAACTAGTAAATTATCAACTAGAAATTCAAGCTAATGTTTGGAAAAAGTAAGAATTAGTGCTTAAATGGACAGTATTATGAGAAATCATTGGCAGAAAGTATCGCCATAATTGAAAAGAGAAAGGAGAAAAAGTAGCAGAGAAAGGTTGTAACTGAAGCAGCCCACTTGCATATACAAACATGAAAACTACGGCATAAAATGGATCGACAACGATAAAGTTATCGAATGATTCACACATGATTCCAAGTGACCATATCACAACGGACCAAGCCCACAAAGACATGACAAAAGATAATCAAGAACTGAAAGGAACAGAACAATAACAGAACATCCTCTGTTATTAATTTCCATCAAAACAATCACAACAAAAACAATAACATCATCATCAAACAATGTCTAGAACAGATAGGTCTTGAAACTTCCCACCTCCTAGGTTTTTTTTAGATAAATCAAGCAAGTGTCGAGTTATCGGCGGGCGACGTCCAGACGATGTCCTTAAGCGCCGGTCGGAGTTCTTTACTGCAAAACTGGTTGTACTCAAGGGTATCACCATGGTCTTTTTTAACTTCGACCACCAGAAACGACGGCGTCACTGCAAATATGTCAGCAGCAATCCCTAATTTCCCTTTCCTTCCACATTCCTGCCCCTGCAACCTCACACTTGACTCGCTCTTCTTGACGCTGAACTTCACCGACTTGGCCACCTCCTCCAGTCTTGATATTACACTGCTTGCTGGCCTTGTTGTAGCGAATCTAAGCTCCTCCTTCTCTTCTCTCTTCTTCTCTTCAAACAAAGGCGATAAATCAAAGCCCTCAGACAGAGAAATGATATGGAAGGCGTTCAAAGTCTCAGGCTTGGATGATTTGTCAACATTGAACGCTTCAAATTCTAACTCTTCCTTGGTTCTAACGGTCTTAGGCATAGATTTCTTGAACCAAGACGAGTCCATGACCTTTGAGATAGTGATTCGGGTACTTGGGTTGGGATCTAAAAGCTTAGTGATTAATCTACGAGCTTCAGGGGAAAACCATGGTGGACACTTGAAATCTCCTCTATAAATCTTCCTATACATGGCTACCAAGTTATCATCTTGAAAGGGTAAGAACCCAGCAAGAAGAACATAAAGAATTACCCCACAAGACCAAATATCTGCCTTAGCTCCGTCATATCCTTTCTTCCCAATAACTTCAGGAGCCACATAAGCCGGTGTTCCACAAGTTGTGTGCAATAACCCATCTTGTTTCAAGTGTTCTGAGAAAGCACTGAGTCCAAAATCTGTAACCTTCAAGTTTCCATCTTCATCTAAGAGCAAATTCTCCGGCTTCAAATCACGGTGGTAAACCCCACGACTATGACAGAAATCGATAGCAGAAACTAACTGTTGAAAAAAAACTCTTGCCAAGTCTTCCTTGAGCCGACCCTTGGAAATTTTTGAGAAGAGTTCTCCACCACGGACAAGTTCCATAGCAAAATAAATCTTCGACTTACTTGCCATGACTTCGTGCAACTCAACTATATTGGGGTGTTTCACCATCTTCATAACGGAAATCTCCCGCTTGATCTGCTCCATCATCCCAACTTTAATCACCTTCTCTTTGCCAACAACTTTCATGGCAACACCCTTCCCTGTCTGAAGATTCCGTGCATGGTAGACTTTGGCGAAGGTTCCATGACCCAACATACGACCAAGCTCGTACTTTCCATGAAGCAAAGCAGGGTGTTCATTTTTAGTTTTCTCCGCCATTTTTTCTTATCAGCTCGAGAAACACAACACAGAAAGAAGCTCTGATCTGAATTATTGTATATACAATAGAAGAGATAACATAAAGAAACAGAAGATTAAAGGCATAGATTTTTCACTTTTTGTTTGTTACAGTGCACGGGAATGAATCACCCGTCTTCGACGTGTTTACGGTGGCAATTCCTGCCGCCGATGGACCGCTTACCGTGTCCACACAGCTCAGGCCTCGTCACCGATGACCTTCTCATCTCTCTGCATTCCCTACAGGGATTTTTTCCTTTTCTTTTTTTTTTTTTTCCAAAAAAGAAATATTTTTTTATTTAAATGAAGAAGCTTTGCTCTATCTCTACTGCCAGGAGAGAGAAGCTTTGCCGTTCTCTTTTTCTTGGATCAACGCATAAACCTTCTGATTTATAGTGCATTTTCCTCGCGTAGAATTCCTATTTCGTCCCTTGGTTCATCAGACGATCATGAATCAACCCAGTGAATGAAACCCACATGGCAGGGTCTGATGAAATCATCGACGACTGAAACACTAGATTCTGACACGTGTAATGCTGGAAGGGAACCGCCATTTGTAGCGTGTGGTGTTACGAATATGTCGACCGCCCGTCTTTACAGCGGTGAATCCTCACGAGTCACGGCCTGTCGAAATGTTAGGTTCTCAATAATTCCGTGGGGTCCAGACAGTGATGGAAAGTCTGATTATTGGAGCGATGATAACTTATTACGCCGTTGAATTACTGATAGGGTGACTGTAAACAAAAATGCTAGAAGTAGACGTGAAGGAATCAAGGAATGGAATATCCTTTTTTGTTTAATAATGATTTTGGCTTCTTTGTTCTACAATTTTTCTCGGTTTAATATTTAAAATTTTATTTTGTGATATCTTGGATTAAAACAGTTAATTAATTTAATTTTTATAAATATATAATTTTATTGAATATTTATATTCATTAATAAATTAATAAAAGCCAAATCAATATTTAACTCCTTTTTTATTATAATTAATTAAGTAAATAATTAATGTACCAGTTTAGAGGTAAAACGTGGATTACGGGATGCGGAACTAAGGGATAAGGTGGAGCCCCAAGACTGCACTTTTTCTGTTTCTGGCAGTAGTTTGTCAAATTGGGGAGTCCCATCAAAGCCAAATGCATGCGGTAAATATCACTAAGTGGAAAAAGTAAAAGATTAATCCAAGATGATATTGATAATCTCATTTCTGATTTTTCCACCAACGAAAACTGTTATTTAATTAATAATATTAAATTTTATCTATTTATTTTTGAATAAATGATCATTAATAATTAATAAATAATCGATTTAATCAATTAAAATTTATAATAAAAAAATTTTGAGTTTAAATTTTATATATGATTATTAATTAGAATCATTTTGAATGCATAATTTATAATTATATATTTTAAATTATCAAATATAACATATTTTATCTTGATTTAAAAAATTAAATAACTTATTTATTTTTAAATTTTTTTCAAAAAGAAATGATCATTAGTAATTATAGATGGGTTGTTAATAATGTTAAAATCCGTTTTAAAATTAAAATTCTAAATTCATATTTTAATTATAATAATAAATTATTAATTAGTGATATTGATTGAAAAGATATTTAAAGGTAATTAATATATTATTTTCTAAAATTTGATGAAAACAATGCATGCATTATCAAAATTTTATTTTATTAAAATTTGTTTACACGAAAAAGGGTTATATTAAATAATAATTAATTTAAAATTAACTTTTCTAAAATCGACCTGTTAATCAACGACAAGTTATAACTATATAATATTTAAAATCGAATCATTTTACATTTTTTTTCATAAAAACTCTTTTTTTTTCTTTTTATCCACTTTCAATTTTTTAGGTTTTTTTTTTCTCGAAATATTCTATCTCAGATTCTTTCTGTTTGATTTGGGGGAAATGAATGCTTCGTGCGCCCTAAAATGATTAAAATTTGAGGATTATTTTTGGCAGTGTGTTTTATTAATATTCCTCTTCCGAATAAATAAGTCTTAAAATTTTGGCTCATATACTTGTTAAGCACGCCCTGCATGGACGCTGGAGTAACGTGCAATTTGATTTTTTTTTCTCCCTCACATTTTTTAAAAATGAGGCTGTTAATGATAAATTTTCACGTCTATATATGAAAATAAATCAAGTTTCGGTGCAAAAATATTTTTATAAATTTCATACACGATTAATAATTTAATAAATCAATCGTTAAAATTAATAATACATTTTATTATATATTTAAATGAGAGTATTATAATAATTGAGGAATCTAGATAGAATATATTCTTTTGAGTGATTCAACACAAATGAAATTAATTTGATGTTGAAATAATAAAAATAATTCTTTTGAAAGGCAATTAATTAAAGTAATAGTCAAATTAAAACAAAATAAAAAATTATAATAACTTATCCCATTACTTCAATACGCAAGATTGATGACATGTATTCAAGAAGAAGAAGACTTGATAAGTGCAACATTTTTAAAGTCCACGGCAGTCTCCGGAGCCACCAAATTTGGGATGGCTAACAACCAGAGAAATAGTGGACGTCGCCATCAATTTCACTTTGTCCATCTTTGACTGTCCCCTTCTAGTTATTACATATTATTCTCCCTTCATTTCTCGGAAAATCCCAATTTTTTTTTTCTCTCATGATCAATTTTTCCTTCAAAGAAAAATAAACAATTAAACATTAATATTTTATAATTAATACGTTATTTTTTAATTCAATGAAAATAATGTATTAAATGTAAAAACAATTTAATTTATTTTAAGAAAAATGAAAAATAAATTTAATTTTTTTATAATATTTTAATTATCTTTAATCAGTGTAACACCGGTTAATCGTGCCCTTTATAAATTCATCACTTCGATTATAAATATATATCTCTTATAATTTGAAAAAAAATATACTAAATTTCCCATCTGGGAAGCTGCACATGGACGGCTGTGCTGATGCACACAGGAGTGACGCAGCCATTGAGCGTTAGCAAGTGGAATGGATGGAAAATGCGTTCAGTCAAATGCAGCAAAAGAAACTCGTTTTCGGCGGCCACGCCCACCACAGACGGCATGATTTGGTCTTTAATTTTCATTCCTTGTTGCAAAAGCCAATCATAATTAAGACAAGTCTTAACACTTCTAATTGATTGCTTCCATGTTTTCGTTTCGCTTATAATTAAAACATTAAAAAAAGGCTGCTTCTCTATTGCTAATAAACCAACAAAGCAAAAATGAGAAAGACAAAGGCCAGAAGAAACATAAGCTGATCGGTTGTTTCTGGTTCAGGTTTGGATTGAAGATTGAGCATGGTTTTGGGGTCCCATGGGCCACATGGTTACACTTGGTTTGCCTGTCTTTATTGCACAGACATTGACCCCACACGTCCTTGGGTCTGGTCAGGTTCAGGCACCATATTAGCAGCAAATTTACGGCTCTGAACTTTGAAGTCTGGAACGGATCTATGTCCGTAGGTGTGGGGGCAGTTGCCCACACTAGGATCCAAAAACATTTTAGGTTTAGTGCAAAAAAATCTCAAAGTTCTAGATATTCGAATCTTTGCCTTCACTAAAATTTTTTATCATATTTATGCCTTGTTGTTAAGTAATTTCATTCTTTAATTTAACATTACAAAAGAAAACATATAAAGCCGGAATTAATAAAAATAAAAATTATTTTTAATTAATATAAATTTATGTTTTAATTTTTGTCTTTGACTTTATTTTTATTGAATATAAGAAAATTGATATTTGTTACTCTCCACATTATAATAAATATTTATTTATTAAAATTAAATAATAAAATTAAATATATATTTTTTATATTAAGACGTATTATATCTATATACCTTTAAGATTTTTATAAGTAAAATTATATTAAATAAATATATATATATATATACATAGTTGTACGTGTGTTTATGTGTACAGAAAGATAATTTATCTATAATATTATAATATTTAAACTATATTCTACAAGAAGCATATAATTAATTTTAGCTATAAAAATTTATATTTATGGTATAAATTTTGCATTTTTTTGTAGAAAAAATATGTTATAAATGTAAATTTTTTTTTGAATTTTTATATTAAATATATTTCAATGAAAATTTTAATAAATTAAATTAAATTATTTACCTCCACTGATAAAAATACTAGATTCGTCTCAATGTGTAGTCACCCATTTGGAGGTCACATTTCATCATCACACTGATACGATAACATTAATGCTGTTTTGAATATGAATCGTTGATTTTAATTACTTTATATTTGATCAAGTTCTTAACACTACATTTTGTCTTTCTATTGTGGGAATGGCGTGAATACTCAAACAACATTCAAATGTTGGAAAAAAGGGGCTGTGATTGGAAGAAGGATAATGATCCGATTTAATATGTATTTTGGAGATAAGCTTTAGTCTTATCTATTAACTTTGTTCATATCGATAAGATTTTATATGTATGAATTTTTTGTTTATAAAATTTTATTTTTTTTATAAAATGTTCAAAGAGTTTAATTTGAAATTTTTAATAAACTATTTTCTTATAATTACCATCACTCTTATAAGAAATATTTATATAATTTTTTTAAAAAATTTAATTTATAATTAAAGTTCGAATTTAAAATTTTCGATTTTGAAACTTGACTTCACTATCACTATAACATCTCATTAATCAGTCGAACGCAAAATTAAAGTATAAGAGTAGACTTCCGACGGCTTTACTTTTTTATTCATTTCTTTCAAAGTTAATTAAACTTAAGAGTAAGAGTAAATGACTGTCAGGTAATATAATTCATCATAAATCAAAGGGATAAACTCGAAATGAAAATGCAGGTCAAAGGAGAAATGGATAAACATCAACATATTTTTAATGGTGTTTTTGTCAATAAAGTCCAAAATTTACACTCAAAGAACGACTTTGATCAGTTCCATCTCTTCTCTCATACATTGAATTGAGTCAGCTACAAATTTCCACTGATTTTATCTAATGTCCCAATTGAAGTTGTTAGAACGTGACCTTCATACCAATAACAAGCCAAAATTTCAAGGTAGGGTTCATTCTATTTAAGAGATGTATGTTGTATATGTAGATAAGCTTTGAAAAAACACTTTGAATTAAAGTGAAAAGAGATATGTGCAAGTAAAAAAGGTAGATGAGGTGAGATTGGGATATCCCGTAATTGTGAAAATGAAATGAGAGATTGGGAATCTGAAAATCGTTTCACGCTAAAGAAGCTGATAACATGTCTGTCCAAACTTATGCTGTAGTGTCGATGTTTTGTCAGACCCTTTTTTTTTTTTTACTTGTATCTCTTAAATCAAAAACCTGACGACAAGGAAGCACTGTAAAAGAATTTGATT